CTGCGCAACCTGCGCAATCCCTTCGCTGCAGAAGATGGTGGGAGTTTTTAGCATTTTTGCTTTTTCTCTGTAAGGTGGACCTGAGGGCCTTAGGAATTGGGATGTCAATAACTGACACTGAACAGCAAGCCCATGGCTAAGGGGTTGGTTTGTGCTCTTAAACATGTCTTAATGATGCCAACCAGAAGAGCAGAACAAACTTCTGGTTTAAGCCTTCTTTCCCCTACCCCCAGGCTTTTTCCAGGACCTTCCTGCTCACCCGGCTGGAGGAGGATTCGGAACTGGGACTGTGGCTCAAACTCGGTGCCCGTGCCCATGCCGGCGCACCCTTACACGCACACACTTGAACGCTTAGCAAGCCTTTTCCAAGGCTGTTCCCTCTTTCCGGGGAAATAAAGCCTAGATTGGAACCTTCTGCCCGGCTTCCTCATTTGGCCGTCTGGTCTGCATTAGTGTTTTTATAAGGGACTCAAACAAATCGAATACAAGGTCACCAAATAATTAACAGTTGTGAATTCCCTCCGTTCCCATTAAAATACTTCCCTGCTTATATTTCATTTTCCGTTTGCCAACGACAACAGGGTCCCGGCAAAAGCACTGCCGCGTTGATTACACCACTCTGCGGCCCAGGTCCACCCAGAAACCCGCTGTTTTGCATAAACATGACGTACCAGATGAAGTTCAATCGCGAGGGAACACTCTTTGAACGCGCTCCCCACAGTCAGGCAAGCCCCAGAATTGTCCTGCTCTGCCCCCTGATAATCACGACCCAGAAGGTAAACAGAGAAGCCAACAAACAGCGAGCGGAATAATATTCTGACAGGTATTCCTAGGGTGTCAAGTTCCTCAAGGATGTTCCGATCTCGTTTTGGTTTTTATCTGTTCCTTACTACCTCCTTTCTGAGAGTGCCATTGTAACAAAGAAATATTAAAGGGCATTCTTATGCCAGTCATCTGGAAACCTAATTCCCAGCAATAGTCTTAGACTCATTTTGGTCTCTCATCCTTGAGAGCTGTTTTTCTTTCTCCCCTTGTTGGAATTATGTGGCACTTTTCACTACAGAAACTGAAAGTTTGAATTTCTCTCTCTCTCTTGCTACACCCCCCCCATTCATAGAAGTTCTAATTGTCTGCCTTTCCCAGGCCCCAGGGCTGAGGGTCCAGGGCCCCATGACTAGTGGCCTTTTAATGAGTTATTTCATGAGCTAACTGTAATCACACTGTATCCAACCTTGTCCTCTGCACCAAAACACATATGCGCATATTTTCTTATCTTTGTGGATCAAATATCATCTTTAAAGCACAATATGGGGGAATTTGAAAAGATAGGGGATAACGTGGTTTGTGCTTCTGTGAAAATAAGTGCAGGAGGAACCAAAGCACAGCGGCAAATCCAGACCCTTAAATCCTAAATTTCACTCCAACTCCTAACTGGGTCTTAAGAGGAATACTGGATTGGGAAGGAAATCCCCCCCCCCCTTCCATTCTGCTTCTGATCACCATCCATTAGAAACTTCCTCACCCCTTACTCTATATAGTGCACTAGTTAAGCATGCAGGGTTTAGACTCTTCCATGAGTGCCACCTCTCCCTAGCTGTGTGACCTTGAGCAACTTGCTTACCCTCTCAGTCTGCTTTAATTCACCTGTAAAGCAGGATGGTGAGAGTGCTTTCCTCTGAATTGGTTGCCAGTATTTAGGTTAATTCATGCAACAAGTTCTAGTTACAGTACTTGGCACACAGTACACGTTGAATACATCTTGGTTGTTATGTCCCTAGATGTTTGAAGACCATACCAGAAAGAGGGGCGAATTTGTTAAAAACTCTTCATAGATCGAAAGCTCCCTTCATTCATTTTGGGCAGAGTTTAGTCAGGCACTGCTCTCTCTCTCTCTCTCTCTCTCTCAACCACGGGCTTCAGGTGTACCTTTTGGGGTTCTCGGGGTGAGAAAGACTTTTACAAACACCGTAGGAGTGTTAAGTCGCGCATGCCTCACGAACTGTCTTCGGGGTTCCCTCCCTCATCTTTGCTCCTCCCCTTGAGGGACCCCTGGCTCTCTCCAGCCGAGCCTGCTTCACTCCATGGCGATCTAAACATCCCCCAGGCAGGGCGCCAAGCCAGCACGGCCAGACCAGCTCCAGGAGGGCCGCGTGGCTCCTTCCTCCTCGCCAGGCCCTCCACGGGCTGGGGGAGGGGACGTTGGGGGGGGTGGCGCGGTTAAGAGCCCCACGTGAGAGGGGCGGAAGTTCTCGCCAGGAGCCGGGGATGCGCGACTGGCGGGTCCCTTCCATCACGGGAGACGAGACACCGTTTGATGTGTTATGACATGAACCCTCAATTAGATCGCTGAGTTGAAACACTCCAATCAGGGGCCCGATGCCAAGCAAGTCCCGGAAGGTCCAGCCCGAGGTCACCGCCGGTGACACATCAAATCAAAATCAGTGAGAGGGAAAGTGAGGCTTTCCCTTTATCAAGCTGGGGCTGCAGCCAGCGCCGCACCCCCTCCTCCGCGCGCCCCTCCTGCCCGCGGCTCCGCGCTCCTTCTCCCCGCGCGGCGTGCGACCAGCCGCACCCGCCCTCCCAGTCAACGAACTGCCTTTCTCCGCGTTTTCTGGGAGCCCGAGGGCGCCGAGGAGAACTTTGAAGCTGCCGTCCGGGTGGCCGCGCCGCGTCTCCTCCCGCTGTGGGTCGCTAGCATCCCCAGCCCTCGGTGGCGTTCTGGGGTTGAAGCCGAACGTCCGCATCTCGGTTCAGCTAGTCTGGAGAGCTTGGCTTCGGAACCGAGGTCCCCCAGCCCGGGTGTACAGCCAATCCATCCCTCCTCTCCCTCGGTGTCCAGGGACTCTCAGCGCAGTGCCCGAGGCGGTGGGGCGGTGAGGGGGGTGCAGGGCGAGCAAGGGTGAAGCCAGTCCGCGTCTACTCCGGACTTAGGGCCCTCGGAGACCGTGCCCCAACCCTCAACTGGATGCCGCAGGCTTTGTAGACACCTTCGATTAGCCTGCAGGGTCCCTTGATTCCTTGCCAAACTCACGGGGCGGCGCAGCGAACCGGTTAGGGTACCTACTTGGGGGAGGGGCAGAGATTCTAGCCACTTCACTTGGGGGAGGAGAGGCGGAAGGGGAAGAGAAAAGTGCCTCCAACCATCGGTCAGCCCAGGCCTCTAGGGATTTCCTCTCTTGAGGAAGGGCCTCTCCAGCAGTCCTCTCTGAGCTTCCTTGGCCTCTCCGAGGGTAGTAGAGAAGGTGGACGATTAACAGAGGGCTTGGAGGAAGTCACCACCGGGCAACCGTGGCGGGGAGCAGGAGAGGAAGGGGCTGGCGAGCTGCGCTGGCAGCACTACCAAGGCAGGGGCGGCCGGGGTCTCAGTAGCAGCACTAGGAAGAAGGCACGTGTCTTTGCGAAGGTGACTTTAGTAGTCCTAAAATCATCATAAAATACCCGGCGTTAATTTGCTGTCCAGACCTTTCAGCAGCTCATGAACCTCGTTGACCTCGGGCTGCAGCGGCGAACCCGGCATGGGTAGGACCCTCTCGAGCACTGCCAGTGAGAGGCTGGGGGTGCTGGGGCCGGGAAGAGCCCGGGGCTGAGGGACCCTTAGTCCGCTCTAAAGAGTTTGGAGAACGAGCAAGCACCCAAAGCAGCCTGGCAGAAGCAGCCTTTTCACCCCGAACTCAGCCCTGGAGGGTTTCTGGGCACCCTCATTTTCACTGACCCGCAGATGGGGAGACTGGGACGGGTCAAGGTCATGGAGCCAAGTCTGAGGAGGATGGGGGAGCAGATCGCTGCCTAAAATCTCTTTTATCTCCTCCTTTTCTTCTTTTTCCTCCCCTTCCCCTTCCTTTCCTCTTCTGCTTCCTTCCATATTCGTCTCTCTCCTCTTCAGGAGCTGAGTTTCCGATACCCGTGGATTCCTCCCCAATTCCTGGGACCAGGGGGCAGCGCGAGGTTTTCACGAGGACATTAGCCACGCTGCATACCAACACCGGGCAAGAAGGGGGCGAAGGAGTTCCCGCAGACACCCGCACAAGCGCGCGCTCCTGCAGCGCGGACAAGGGACCAGGTTCCCAGAGACGCGCAGAGAGAGAGAGAGAGAGAGAATGAGAGAGAGAGAGAGAGAGAGGCGCTGCCTGGCTGAGAGAGGTGGACGGGCACACCCATGGACGCGCCCTTGTGAATGAGGTACCAACAAACCCCAACACGTAGCCTTCCCTGCTCCCGGACCGCCCAGCCAGTTGCTGCTGCCGCTGCCTGTGCAGAAACGACTCGGGATGAGGCATCAGAGCCGCCGGGAACGAGACGCTGGAGCGAAATAAAAATAAAAATTAGCCCTTGGGCGCAGGGCTCCCGCCCGGCCGACATTCCCGCCCCCAGCTTGGGGATAGAGGAGAACCCGCGCGGCGGCTGGACTAGGCGCTGCCCGACGCCGCTGGCGGACTCGCTCCTCGGACAGCGGGACTCGCGAGCGCCGGCTTTTCTCGGGACTTCCCAACACTCGCTCTGGCCCCGAGGCCCGCCGGCTCTGCCCCAGCAGCTCAGGCCTTGGACGGCGCATCCCGCGCAACCCGGGACCCCAAGGCACCGCGTCCATCAGTCCCGCCCCGACCCCTCTCCAGCCCGGGTACTGCCTGCTGCCTCCCAGGACTCCACGTTTCCTCTACCAGCCACCAGATGAGCGGCCACCACGCCACTTTCTGCAAAAGACGAGAGGAAGAAGGAAGAGCGGCCACCACGCCACTTTCTGCCAAAGACGAGAGGAAGAAGGAAAGAAGGAAGGGAGAGAAAGAAAGAAAAAGAAGGAAGGGAGAATGGAAGGTTAGAAGCGAATTTGCAGCCGCATTCAGGAACTCACTCGGGCTTGAGGGAAACCATTTAAGAAAAGAAATCGGGAAGTGTCCAGAGGGGAAGGGAATTCACAGATGCAGCCTCCTGCCAGAGTCAGAGCAGCGCCCGGTCTACGGAACTCCGGCAGGAGAGGATTCGGCGTCTTCTTGGCCACTTACCTAGTCCCCTGTCTACAAAGCTGGTGATCGTATTCGCCGACTTGGAAGACTGGAAGAAGCTGGCATTGATGCCCAGCTTCTCGGCGATGGAGTAAGTCCTGTAGATTGACAGCATGTACTCGTGGGGCACCACGCGCGGACCCCTGCCCGGCGGCTGCTGCGCCTCAGGCTGCTGCTGCGCTTGGGGCGCGTCCTGCGGCCACGGCTGCGGCTCCCGGCCCTCCGGCGGCTCCTGGCCCGCGGCATCCTCTCGCGGCGCCCGCGGCATCTTCCCTTCCTTGCGGGTCCGCACGCCCTTGGTGGAGCCTAGCTCGGCGGACGACGAGGAAGAAGAGATGGAAGCCTGTTGGATGCCGGGCAGATCCCACAGAAAACTGATGAGGAAGACAGCCGAGAGCAGGACTCTGGGAGTATCCATGGCGTGCCAGTAGCTGCGTCTCCCCAGGAGGCGGCGGCAGCGGCGGCGGCGGCGCAGGGG